CATGGTTCATGTTGTTAGAATTGCTAGGGTGATAGTGATTGTGGAATTGAATATGATTATTGTTGAACTGGCTAGATATTGAGTTGTGTTTTGGAATTAATGAATTGTTGAATTGAATGGTGTACTTGATTGTTTGATTGTTCCGCTTGTTGAGAATTGACCGCTGAGGATTATCATTTGTGATAATGATAATCCGGGTTTTTAATTGAAAAATTTTAAATTTTCGGATCAGATTGTTTCACCTACTATAGTTAACTATTCACTATGTAAACTATAGTTAATTATTCAAATAATATAGTTCACTATATAATAAAGTTTAGTTAGCTATTCAAACAATAATATAATTCACTATTCACTATGTAAACTTTAGTTAATTATTCAATTAATAATATAGTTCACTATGTAAACGATAGTTAGCTATTCAAATAATAATATAGTTGGTTATTCACTATATAAGCGATAGTTAGCTATTCAAATAATAATATAGTTGGCTATGTTTTTTATTACTCGATAGTAATGATACAATAGTCAGTCACCTTGCTATTGACAGGTTCATGGCCATAACGAAACAATCGTTTAAGTAGCTTAGAATCTTTCATCTTCGGAAACACGTTGAAAGTGATAAAAAGTAGAGGATATGTATAATCGAAAAGTGATTAGGGAACAATTAAAAAGAAAAATATGAATTCAAAGAAGAAATATTATTGAAATCAGATGAAAGAGAAGTTATCAGAAGTGAGAAAGAGAGAACAGAGGATGACGACAGTGAGTAGAATGAAATAGATTAGGGTAAAACATTTTTAGTTTGGGTAATTTTAGGGATTTATTTTCTTGTTTAGTTTTTTTCTCTAAAAAATTTGTAACATTATATAAGGGTAAAATAAGAATTTTAGGTGATCTAAATGCTAGTTACTATATTTTTTTTTTATAGGATGTTAGATCATAAATTATAGGTAGAAAAACTAATATATGACATAATTTATCTAATATATACTTGCATATTATCACACGATTTATATAAATTACACGTAAAACACACCATTTATTTTCATTTTTACTTATGTATATAAAGTATAACCCAATAACAAATGAATGAAAGAAATATCTAGCAATGCTATTATGGCAAATAGCGTATTCTCATAACTCGTCTGGTCACGACTCACGTTGATAAAATAAAATCACAGAATAACACAACAAATATATCTAACTTAGTTAACTATGTTGATAAAATAAATTTAAGAAATCCAATCTATTTCTAAATAGGTTACATAAACAACAACAATTCAATTATGTTGGAAAAAAAATTCAGTCGTACGGTGAGATCCTAAAGTAAAGATCAAAAGAGATTCCATCAATAGACTTAATCTTATATGATATTAATAATTTAAAAAATGTTCCCATAATAAGCATCTTTTCGGTGCAAACAATTTTAAACTTTGCCAATCTTGGTAAATGATAATCATATAAAGCAATCGAGTGCTTTGTTAGTTTCTTTTTTTTTTCGTCGTATATTCCATCTTTTTAACCTTTTTATAAAGACTAACTATATTGACTACCGACAACGAAGACTTGTCTTCTGGCTCTTTTATTTTGGATCATTTTAAAGGGATTTTTTTTTTGCGGGGGAAATTAACGTTGTAAAATAGTAAGATAATACCAGTTTACTTAAAAAATTTATGAAGAAAAAATTTCAAAGATTTTGATAAGTTGGGAACGGTATTGTTGTAACGAAAAGCAAATGAGATATTTGCTAACTGGATCATTGGATTGTAGAAATGGCTATTCAAACAAAGTTTTCCATGTCTAAAGGACCAACACTATTTACCCGCGTGACCAAAAACAATCATTCGAGGATATATAACCAAAATACATTAGAAAGATTATATTTATACTGGTCGAACAACATATATTATAAGATAATAAGACTTGAATCGAGTAATAGGTTTGAACTTAAATAGTGTTCGAATGACGATAATATCACAAATAATTAGATTATACGTTTGTAATTTTTTTTTTTTTGTTACGGTTAAAGTTGTTCAAAGAACCAGACTTGTCATTTATTTGGAGAGAGGCGTAAGACTATAATAGTGCAAAAGCTACTTGATGTGTCTTGGTCATTTGATAACATTAAAATGAAAAAAACTTGACAACAAGCATTGCGAAAAGCACTATATACAACCAATAACACTAACAGATGTGTTATTTCTTGAGAAATTTCGTTTTGAACCATCATCACATGCTACCGTAATCATGCAATGTTGTGGCTTCCCATAAGCCCCACTATTGTTGACATGTTCCTCTGTTCTCTCTTTTAATGGTCTTTTAGTGCATTGATTTTATCTGCTACAGAAGCTTAGTGTCCTTCAGATATATCATACACGCATGATAAATGAGTGAAAATCTAATACAAGTTGAGAGATATAATTCAAGTAAGGAGTTGTTGTGATGGGGTTCATGGCACCGGCCGGCCCTGCCCTGATTTAAGGCGGTTTTGTAAGGAAGTATGTATTTGGAAGAGAGCTCTCTCCTAGTCAAGATCCAATTCCAATCAGTGGAATATAGTAAACAATTTTTTTACTATAGTTTTCATTGAAATGAATAGCACCGAGTGTCCAGACAACGTAAGTAGTCGCAAACATGACAGTGCTAATGAAAACAAAGGAAAAAGCAATGACAAGTATATCCGCGCTTCCCGGGAAATCAAAGGTAAGGCCTTTCTTTGGCATCCCTCTCTTGCTATCATCAAGCATACTGGTTGGTGCTTCGGGTAAGCCCGGTTTCCTATTTAATTTCTTATCACTCTCTTTCAAAACATCCAACAGTTGGCTTCCCATTTTGGGTTTTGATGGTTTCGGTGTTGCTTCTGTGTATCGGCTAAGTACTCGAGCTGCTCTTAGCCTCTCCCTAGCTGTCAATGGTGCTCTTTTGCCACTGGTTTGTTTGATATCTGAAGAAACCGAGCCATTGGCTGGTTCAACGGATTTACGGGTTTATCAGAATCCGTAGAGGAGGAATCGAGGGATGTGATCGCTTTGTCATCGGTATCCGAACTAGACATAATAACCACCAATCTTGTTTTGTTTGAAATCAGTGATCTTCTTGAAACATGTAAAGGCCAAAACTTTGATGATATAAATTTGGCTGAGGATCTTAGAACAGGGTTGCATCTGGTATGTAGCTTCAAAGGGAGAGAATATTCAGTTTTATATATTTAACAAAACAAAGCAGTTTATATAATTGAAACATAAAGCCATAAGAGCTTTCTTCATCAGAGAAATGAAGAAGAAACATTGATTTTGAAGTCCCAAGATTACTCAACAGATACAAATTAAGTCCCTTTTGTCAAACAACCTAGTGACCAAATCAACATTTCAGAGCATGAAAACATTCCGGAACAAACTCAGATTCTGGGAAATGAAAAAGTTGTCTTTTTTTTTTTGCAGAACCCATGTGAATCAAATTAACTTAAATTCACAAGAGGAAGAAGAAGAGACTCACCAGAGAATCGAAGCCGGAGCATGTATTAAGAGAAACAGCCATCGTGGCGGTCGTCAAGTGTTTCTTGTGTTTAGAATATTCACTATGAATAAACAGATGAAGAAGACGACCAAAGATCAGT